CTGTCCCTTAAAGCAGAATGACCCTGCACCTTCCAGCCACTGCACAAACATGGTAAATGACAAGAAAAAGGCCCCACGGTGCAGGATGAGTCTGTGCCGCCCTCAGGCACAAAGAAATGCGCTCTATCAAAGTGTGCCATGTGGTACAACACTAAACAAGAGATGTTGAAGCATTAACGCATGTGCGGGCATCACACAATCCATTACTTACAGTCAAAACGTTTATGAACAATGTAAACGAGCTGTTCCAGTAGTAGAATAAGTTTTGTCCGTATTAAGTTTTTTATTCACTTAACGTACGCATTGTTTTACATTGCGTTATTTATGATTGTTGCAGTAATTTCTCTAATCGGTGGCTTTTTCTCTGTAACTCCCTTAGGAGATAGTACTCAACAGCCGTAGGGCCATTATAGTAATTGTAGTATTTCGGAGCTGCTTCAATTGATCCTAATACAAGAAAGAACAAGAAATCACTGTGGTGCAATTACTTGTTATTTCTGAGTGCATACTTGTCATGTATATTATTTTCAGCTGTTGCTAAAAAGAACTACTCTGAATGAAAAATTTGAAAGAGTGTGCTCTAAAGCTAGTCCATTTTTAGCCGACTCTAATCATATTGTTATTTTGGTACTATATATTAAATTAATAATGTGCTGTAAATGCTTCAATTTTGTTAACCAGTTTCAACAAAAGCTGAACTCTTAAATGTTTGAATAAAAAATATTGTAGTTACTTTGCCTGGGACTAACTGTCAACATCTGAAGTATAAATACCTAGAAGCCACAGAGACTCTGCAAGATATTTGTTTGGGGAAATACATTGCTCGGTTGGTAGCTTAAAACCCTGCACTGCACTTCCTCACTCTGCTGACTAGTATTATTTTATTTAAATTTTAGTCTCACTATTACATTAAGGAGTTTTGGATTGTTGTGAAATCTTAACTACAATGTGCCATTGTTGTTATCCTCATTACAAAGAACTCATCAGGTAACATGTATCAGACTACACCTCAAAATTCTTATTTTGTTTATAGGTGATAATATTATTGTAATTTTTGTCAATCTGAATTTCACCTTTTATCCCTCAGCCAATCAATTCAAAATGTATAGAGAATCTCGTGGCAACGTGTAACCCCTAGATACTGAGTTTATTAAACGGATGCTAAGCAGTTGGGGAAAAAAAGGACAGTGACTCTTTTCTGAAAGGCAATTGAAATGACACACACCTGAGTCCACCTTCAATACTTTAAGGGAACAAGTACATCAATTACTCTCAACTACAATATATTTGGTTTCTATCTATTGTTTTGCAGCAAGATGATAAGTCATCAGAGTGAAAAGGAGTGAAGAGGCCTCGAGCCAATGCAATGCACCGAAAAACCTTTCGTTCTCCCTGAAAAAGAAGAAGTAGACTACAAGCAGTGTGATGTGTAAGTTTAATCCTTTAGAAGCACAACTGACTGGTGAGTGAGAGGAGATTCTGGTTCAGCAAAGTCGGCTGGTAGCTCCTCCTGGATTACTTAGTTAACTCCCAAGTAGAGACCACTGAATAAATATTTTTCCACCGCTCTCTGTCCTCTTTATTCTGTCTCTCATTGTCTATGTGTTTCAGAAATTCACAAATTTCAATATCCAAGCACAGAAACCAACCCAATCAGAAGCACTTCAAGCACAGAAGTCCTTCTGAAGAGATAGAAAATGATGGCCTCCAGAGACACAGCACTTGAGCTGAAAATTAACCCAAAAGAGGCCTTCAGCAGATTTCAGGTGGGCACACAAATTATTGTTGTATGTCGACGGTGTGTGGTCAAGCAGAGATTGCAGAGGTACCTCTGCCACTTGATTAGAGAACACTATATTCTTCGGGTAACACTTGAGCTTGGCAGCGGCAACAGTGGAGTATGGAGGAATTAGAAGAGAGCTATTACCAACAGCTGTATTACGAAGAGTTTGGTAGTCGTTCTTAGAGCAACCCATTTCTACCAAGAGGCTGAGAGCCTGCTCTGGAGTGCAGGTCTTCTCTGTTGGCTTTTCTTTCAGAATCCTATCTGCAAGGTCTGGCTGTTTGATAAGAAGACTGTAGGCCTTGGCAGACTTGTGCTTTCCTTGTGAGTGGAGAACTCTTTCCACAGCATAAAAGAGTGCATCATCTGGGGTGTGCAA